CGCTTACTTTCCTGTCTATTCAATTTTTTTTGTCACATGCGATGGAGCTTTAAAACCGTCATCTTGTTGACTATCTCTTGTTGCGTTGCTAATTCCTGACATAACACTTTCTCTATCAGTGTCTCTTAGGTTTCTGTTAAAGACATTTCGCCGTGGGTGTGTAATAGGCTTCTTACTAACGTTGGTATAATGGGGCTGCTCCCGTGGTTTAGGGATAGGCTCGTTCGCTGGGACCAGAGTCTTTGGCTCTGTAGTCATATCAGCATAAGATCTGGTATTCGTGGTGGAACTTAATTTAGCTATCTTCTCTTTGATACTCACATTTCGTGTGTTCTAGTACTTTCTCCAGACATGAGATTTTATCTTCAAACGTATTCATTCTTTCTGCTAATGATATAGAGTTGATGTCTTTTGGGTATGATCTTGGCAGACGCCTAATATCCAGAGCGCTTAGAGTTACCACTGGCATTGTGCCTGATTTATCAAGTTTATCGATTGCAGCTACAATGTCTAATACGTGCGCTTCCTTCTCAGATCTCACAAGGGAGTCCTTCCGTCTCGCTCTCTCACCAATGATAGCATTATCACATTTATCCCACAATATTGTCTTACTTGTAATAATTTCTTCTAGTGTAAAATGTCCCAGAACAGCCAGTTTAATATGTTCACATGTACTATTCTGCAATGAGTGGACGATATAGCTGATTAAACAATCAACAATAAAAACCTGAATTGTGGTATCCGTTGAGTTGCCGGGTAACTCGAAATCATTTACAATACATTGAACATTGCTAATTGGTCGATTACTATTGGTATCAGTTGTTTTTCTATTGCCTGTCCCAAACCGGACATCAACACAACTCGGGCATAATGTAACCGGGGGGTGTAAATTCTCAATAAAAACTAAGGTGGTTAGTTTTTAAACCTTTATTAAAAACCCTGAAATATATATACGTTAAAATTAATATACATATCACAGTAACAGTTGAGTACAATAAAATAATAGTAAGGCATGCATATTGGTACTCAATGAAATATATCAATAATTTATACACTAAAATACATCACTAATTAAATTAAACATATTAAACAGGCCTTAAGTTTATACTAAATATAATATAAGTAATTGATAACATACCCAAAGAAGGGGTTTTTAAATAAGACTATCAAGATGGTGAACAAAATCTTCAGATAACTATATTCTGGAAAATAACATTATTCTGATTATACATACAATATACTTTCAAAACGGTACCTACTATATATATGTACATATGAAAACCTAATGATCTTTACATGTTATTTTCTATCTATTTAAATAAAATGGCTGCTTAATATTACAATTTCTATCATTCCTACATCCGCTCCATCTAAACCCCAATTACCCAAAATAAGAGAATTAGCACACATACCTGTAATACTGAAGTAGTATAACTGGAACAATTCTCTGAAAAATAACCTAACTAGATTTGGAAAATAAAGTTAAACAATTTGATTGAAGATATCAAATTGTCCTTACACTTCGAAATCTATCTAATGTCTGATGTCTAAAGTGAGGTTCAGATAAAAAGAAAACTTGCTTGTAACCAAGGGAGTAGAATTGTACTCACCCCAAGATTTGGGCTCTAAGAAAACAGTACAGGTTAACAAGCCAAGCTAAAGGAGAGATGTTATTATAGCTGTTTCCAGACTCTTGATTAACTAAACCAAGCAAAACATCCACAGCAAGATGAGGCTTCCTCCCAAACATCAGAAAGAAAGGTGAATAACCGGTAGTTTCATGGATGGTACAATTATAGGCGTGCACTAAAGATGGTAAATGCGTCTTCCAATCTGTTTTTTCGATGTTCTCAAGAGTTCCAAGCATATTCAAAAGGGTTCTGTTAAATCTCTCGCACATTCCGTTGCCGCTAGGGTGATAAGGTGTTGTACGGGATTTCCGCATTCCTGTTAGTAAACACATTTCTTCGATGATCTTATTCTCGAAACTTCCTCCTTTATCACTATGCAGACGTCTTGGAAACCCGTAGTGAACTATAAAATTTTCAAACAAAGCTTTAGCTGTTACTTTTGCAGTCATATTCTTGGTAGCTATGGCTTGGGCGTATCTGGTGAAGTGGTCGGTTATGACTAATATGTAACTGTAACCTCCTTCCAAGCACATGTAGTCTACACTAACTATCTCCATTGGTTGAGTTGAATGGATGTTAACTAATGGAACTCTTGTATTGGTTGGAGACTTCCTCATTATGCAACGTTGGCAAGTCTTGATGTGATCTTCTACATCTGTCGTCATTCTTGGCCAATACACACGTTCCTTCAGTAAAGAAACCGTCCTGTCTCTTCCTAGATGTCCAACATCATCATGACAACCTTGCAGAGCTACCTTTCTATCCAAACAAGGAATCACCAGTTGTAGAACTTCTTGTCCACTTACAACAGATTTTCGGTACAAAACATCTGACTTCAGAGTGAGGTGGTCGAATTCCCGAAGAAAGATGGCTTCTTCCCGATTGCTGGGTGGGGACTGTGGTCTTTCATTGTTCTTCACTGCTCGATGAAGGGGTCCAATGATAGGATCTTCTAGTTGTTTCTTCATCCAGTCTATTTCATGAGCAGGAAACATCTGTGTGTTAGTAACACCTGGGATGATCTGAGTCGCTAAACACTCCACATAGCCATTATCATTTCGGAATTCACTGAGTGCTCTGAAAACATCGGGACTCATCTCCTTGTAAGTATCCTCCGGTGGATTGGGTATTCTTGAAAGGCAGTCAGCATCGATGTTCCGTATTCCAGGTTTGTACCTGATGTTAAAGTTGTAGTTCGCTAAATCCGCTAACCAACGGTGACCAGTTGCATCAAGCTTTGCTGTTGTGAGAACGTAAGTAAGTGGATTATTATCTGTATAGATGGTAAAGGTGTTCCCGTAGAGATAATCTTTGAACTTATCAGTCACTGCCCACTTCAACGCCAAAAATTCCAACTTGTGTGCAGGATAATTTTTCTCTGATTTCGATAATCCTCTGCTGGCATATGCAATTACTCGTTCTTTATGATCTTGCAATTGGTACAGAACAGCGCCTAATCCTCGGCCACTCGCATCTGTGTGTAACAAAAATGGCTTAGAAAAATCTGGGTAAGCCAGAATAGATGGTGACTGTAACAATGTCTTCAGTTCTTCAAAAGAGCTATCTTGTTCTGGTCCCCATTTCCATTTTGGTGTTGACTTGTCATCTGACGTCTTCCTCCCCCTCTTCTTGGAAGTTGGTCCTACTAAAAGCTCATTCAAAGGTCTGGCAATTGTAGAGAAGTTCTTTACAAATCTCCTGTAGTAACCTACAAAACCTAAAAATGACCTTACCTCATCTGGGGTTGTTGGTGTTTTCCAGTCCCTGACCTTTTCAATCTTTGCTGGATCAGTCTTTATGCCTTCTGCGGAAACTATGTGGCCCAAATATTTAACTTCCTGTTGGTAAAAATGGCATTTCTTCGGCGCAAGCTTCAATCCACATTCTTCAAGTCTTTTAAATACCAGTTGCAGTCGCTCCAGATGTTCTTCGTACGTCGATGAAAAAATAATCAGGTCGTCAAGGTAAATCATGCAGATCTTATAGTTTAGCTCTCCTAAACACTCCTCCATCAGTCTTTGGTAGGTGGCTGGTGAGTTGGTCAATCCGAAGGCCATGCGTGTATACTCATAAAACCCAAGAGGACCTACTGTAAATGCTGTCTTTGCCTTGTCCGACTCTTTCATCGCAATCTGATGGTATCCACTCTTCATATCCAGGACTGAAAAATATTTAGCTCCAACCATATTATCTAGCATTTCTTCAATTCTGGGAAGTGCGTAAGCATCTTTGATGGTACGTTGATTCAGCTGTCGATAATCAACACATAGTCGAATGGGGTTGTCTTTTTTCCGCACTATAACAATAATTGATGCCCAAGGACTCTGCGATTTCTGAATAATTCCTCCAGTCAACAATTCATTAAGGTGCTCTCTTATTTCATTGTACATAGATGGTGGTATTCTTCTGTTCTTTTGCTTGAATGGTACTTCATCTGTAAGGTTAATAGCATGTTCAACCATATGAGTGCAGCCTATATCAGTATCACTGTGAGAAAAAATGTGTGACCATTCACTGATAAAATCCTTAACACCTTCTAACTGGCTAACGGTAAGTGCTGATCCAAGATGAATTTTATCCAAAATACTGCAATCACTTCCAACTTGAACAGAAGAACATGTACTACTCTTGTTGATACTGTTTACAATGGTTACTGGTTGTAGTTCGCATATAATGGACTGTGGTTGAATTGAAACTGGATGAGTGGATAGATTTGAAATTCTGATGTAGACAAGATCGTTATTGTCTGGATGAAAATCGACAAGAACAGGTGAAATTTCAACAGTGTCTGGTATCTTGGACTGTGTAGAACGTTGACACATCGCTTTACAGTGAACACTTGATTTAGCAGTAACCACTCCTGCTATAACTGTAGATCTATTGCTGTGTAACAATATAGAATTTCGTTCAGCACACTTCACAATACCCACGCACTTATCTTGTTTGTACACATTTCGCTGAACTTTAAGACATTTAAATGTTAGCAACCAGGGAGTTTCCACTTGAAGTTGTCGATGAAAGTTAAGTCCATGTTTCTTGATAACTGTATCCAAAAGATGTTGTAAAATGTTAGTACCAAGCAGTATTGGTGTGATCTGATGGTATGATGTATCTGGTACTACTAAAAATATACATGGTATTGCAGCTGATGTCATCCTAGGAACTTCAATGTCGATTTCGATCATACCTAAGTATGGAAGTTTATTTCCTCCAGCATCTTCTAAATTCACCAAAGTATCTAATCCTTGCAGCTCACAAACACCTTCAAGGTTATCTCTAAAAAACGATTCACAAATCGTTGATACTTGGGAACCACTGTCGAACAATGCTTGACAGTCCAAATTACCAATTAATACTGGAGCTACATTACTCTTCCCTAATAAACTAACAGGGCTCTTAGTTCCCAAGCCTATTGTCTGCCCTTCGACAAAAACTTCTTGCAGTTTAAATCCTTGTTAAGTCTAACACGACAACCTGTACGGATGAGTCCCTTTTGACCGCACCTAAAACATGTAGGTTCCTCGTGTTCCTGTCTACTGTTACTCTGATCCGGTCTATTATTCTTCAGATCTTTTACATCTTTCTGAAGTGCCTGTACAGTCTGTGTTAAAGATGCTATTAAGTTCTTCATTTCATTGTCTTCTGTTACAGCTTTAATATGATGAGATGCAGATGGTCTTTTTTTCTCCGATGATGACAAATAAACTTCAGATTCAATCTTTCTCACTTCCACCATCAATTCCTCATAATCTTTAATACGATCGTATTTATGCGCAGTTTGCTGTTTAATACTGGCTGTAAGTCCACTCCAAAATCTTGTACGTAACATGTCGTTGATAGCATCCTGTGAAACATCACCACGATCAACAGCTTTCTGGAGAATATCTTCAAGTCTGCAACCCCATTCTGCAACTGATTCCTTCGGAGTCTGCACCGTAGAGTAAAACTCGGCTAACAGATCTTGTGTCTCCTCAACACGTCCAAAAACACTGTTCAGCTTCTTTAACAGACGATCTAACTCCACCCTGTGTCCTAATCTCATCACTATCTTACCTGCTTCACCACGTAATGACTTAAAGATGGCTTGTCGAATCTGTTCCTTGTTGTAACTTGACTGAACCAACTCCTCAACTTCAAACTTCCAAACGTCAAAAGAAACTTCAGACTTGGATGCTGGATCCCCAGAGAAAAATGACACCTTGGGTAAAGCTGGCAGCATCTTAATGTCTTCGCGTGGTTTATCTCGACTTAATGCTGGTAGATGTTCTTGTGAGGGATGAAGTTCTTCCTTTGTTGTAAAATAATCTTTCATCCATTTCTCAAGGTCTTCTTTACTGGAAGCTTTAGGTTTAACACCCATGGCTAGAAAAGTTTTTAACAAGTTATCAGCTTCTTCAGGGGAAAATGATTCTGCCATTGCACAGCTGAAATAAAAACAACACTTTTGACCAAAATAATCAAACACCAAATCACAAGTTGATAAAACAAATCCTGAATCCAAAACTCGTAAAATGAAAATAATCAAATTCACAATTCAGTACAAGTGTCAAACAATAAAACATCAACCCAAGAAAAAGGCCAAAATCACAATAAAAATTAAATAAGTCCAAGTAAACAGTTGAATTCAAGTCACAAGTCAGAGTCAAGTCTAATGTAATGTCAATGTCTAATGTAAAGTCAATGTCTAAGTCAAAATCCCAACAAGCGACAAACTTAAACTCAAAACCAAAACTCAATACAAAAACAAGAGCGCAAACAAAATCAAACTCAATATAAAATCAAATAGAAGTAAAAAAAAAATACTGTACACAAAACCAAATCAGATATCAACCCAAAACACAATTTCAAAATCAAAACCTGAAAAATAAATAATCTACACCAGGGGTATCACTGAAGACGAATTAAACAAAGTTCCAATCAGTGACAATCATAAAACAATTTATAAATATATACAAATATTTATACCATATACAAGGGTTGTGAATGCAAAATATGTTAGTGCTGAATATGTGTGTGTTACAATAATGGACAATGTTATTTGAGGGAGAAACTGAAAAAAAAAATGGAATGAAAGACTGAAAGAAAAGTGAAGTAAGTCTGTCCTGAAAAAAAAACTAAATAAACAAATCCTATATAAAATCCTAAGTTCAGGTATGTGTGCTCGCGATCCCACCTAATATAACCAACCCAAATACACAAGTACACACCCTTTCACTCTATGATAATTAAGTTTAAAAGTAAAAGTGGAAAATGTATGCAATATTTCATAAGTAGGATAATAAACAAGTATGTAATAAATTAAAAGTCAAATAAAAAAAAAATAATTTCACAAATATAATTGTGAAGAAGTTAACTATATACAATAAAAGAAGTAATTAATCAATGAAAAACCTAATACTGAATTTTCCATTCAGTACCGGCACACGGTCTTTATATTCATCTTTGTATCATTTTTAGTCTATTTATTCATTTAAATCATACCAAATATTCACAATTTAGACAGAGCAAATTTACTGCCCAACTGCTCAATTTGTAAGCTAAATTTGTCTATAAAATGTTTTAAGTTTGGCTTCAATTATTATATAAATTTATTCAGATGACAATCCAATAATCAACTCTCTAGACAATCGGATGAAACAGATGTAAACGGATTAAAATACGATCACCATTTTATGATTTAATTAAAAAATGGATAAGCGAGGCTGAGTCTCGATTAACAAGTAACGTTGCTACGATAATAAACAATCTATGTCAAAACTTCGCTCAGAAAAAAGTAATTTGAATGAAATTTTCAATATATTTATTTCGAATTTTCTATTGTGGAACTATTACATAGTATTACATACCGCATCTTTAAATATGTTGACATAGTTAAGTATATCACGACATCAAAATTACAACAGCTAGGATTACATATTCAAGCATAAGTCTATTGAACTGATAGCACGTCTCTCGATCTTTCTCAAACCGTTGAGCTCGGCTAGTTTCTAGTAACGTTATACGTGTTTTCTCCATAGAATGCCAATGGGTCAGGAATTATTTCAACGTGTCTACATGAAATGAAAAATCCATGCTTCGAGAATCTAAAATCCGTGCTTTGAAAAGATGGTATGTATCCTTGTGAATCTGAAAAGATTGCATGAGGGAATTTAGCAAGTGTGTCATTAGCAATCATTTATCAGGCACTGAGTTTGATTTCGATTAAATTTCGTGTTTTGTATGTAAATGTCTAAAAAAAAAACAGCTGTTGATGAACGCAAGTAGTCAGCGGCAGGTCATAGTAACGGTTCGTCTGCATTTGGACGTTTCTTTGGAGAGCCGATGATACCGATACGCAGCTATAGATAAAAATTCTGAAACTATTTAACTTTTTTTAAATGTAGGATATGTTTTACTTATCGGTCACATTTGTTATCCGTTTTCTATGTTAACGATCAAAAGATCTTGGTTGAATTTGATTTTGGGGCATCTGCTTAGGTTATGGCCTTACACACACAAAGCGTTACAAAGCTTTCTAGTGTGATGAATTGGGAACATGGGAGCACGAATCCTATCTATAATCAGCATTTCGCGACCTTCAGTTCCTCCAAAAGGCTACCGCACTACGATTTTTTCAAATTTGGTGTGAAGCATTAGGGTCACGAGAGGACAAAGCCCATTGATATTCAGCGTTAGTGAGTTACCAAACTTTTCCAAATTCCCTGTGAACGCTTATAGGCTACGGGTTCATATTCGATGTGAGGCATTGGGACAATGAGAGGATGAGCCCATCTCTTACAAAATCTTGCGTATCGTGTATGACAACCGCTTTTATGGTTATAAAGGTCAAAGCGTGCTGATAATTCAGGAGTTTTTATTCAACTTCTGGTGAGCCTTTGTGTTGGTCACGACTAAATTGGTCACGATTTTAGAAGGTTCATTCTGACATGCTAAATTGAGTTTATCAAGTTCTGTGTAGGAAATCGTGAGTCACGTTTTGGAAATGTTTTCGGAACCTAACAGGGGAAATACCCATATAAAAAAACCCATCTCCGGAAATCGTGCTTCATCAATAAAACCTTAAAATAGGCCCTGCAATGAGTTTAGCCAACCGAAGCGAGTTCCTGGAATTTTATATCGAGGACAACAAGGTATTAATTGATTGGCTGAATATGCCCAAATATGCAAACAAGAATTGAAAATTATGTCTAATATATTTTATGGTTCGAAAACCGGCCTGCAATCTAGATGGCATTTTATTTACTCTTATCTGTTGGGGACAGATACGTCTGCAAAACATCCTAATCCTAAATGAAAAAAAAAATGGGTTTAATGCCCTACGGTTCGGCACACGCCATACAGTGTGCTATGAGGAAAATTTTACTTACTGTTTCATCGATCTTTTACGCGCACGGTTTTTTTCGCTATGAGGGAAATTTTGCCCGGAGAGCGGCGCTAAGGCCTACTCTTATATCGAACTACAACTGCCAGGTGATCTTTTTACGCGCAGGCTGATATGTACACGGGACCTCGGTGTTTTTCGCTATGAAGGAAATTTTGCCCGGACAGCAGCGCAAAGTCCTACTCTTATATCGAATTACAACTGCGAAGGGATCTTTTACGTGCACGCCAATGTGTACGTACATGTCAGGCCTTTTGTTTTGCATCAATGACAAGTAGAAACCATGCCGGAAAATCCCGATAAACTGCTCAGCCAACACCGGGGGCAAACCCGCGACCTCCAGACTAGCGAGCCAACGTCTACCCATTTAGCCACCGTGGCTCCCCTCATTTTAACTAGCTAAATCGCTATTCTTTTGGCACCTAGAAATGGCTCGCACAGAGGCGTAAATGCACCCCCCCCCAGGAAAAAAAATAGTCGGTCGCAAAATCAGTGACCTCGGTCGCAAAATAAGAGCAGTCGGTATCAAAATAAGTGCTCACTGCACACGTCACGCTACTCACGCAAAACTTTAGTATAAAATAACCTTATCAACTTATCATGTTTGAAAAAATGATGTGTTTCACTCTTATTCTGTTGTGAGTATGTAGGTCTAAGAACAAAATTTCCCCCAGGTAGAAAAATAGTCGGTCTCAAAATAAGTGCAGTCACTGCAGTCGGTCTCAAAATTATGCATCGCCGTCTTAATGAATTAATGAGGTAAACAAAAAATGCCAGAATAGATCCGAAATACTAGTCGGTCGCAAAATCAGTGCAGTCGGTCGTAAGATATGAGCAGTCGGTATCAAAATATGTGTTCACTGCACACGTCACTCTACTCACGCAAAACTTTAGTATCAAATAACCTTGTCAACTTATCATGTTTGAAAAAAATGTTTTTCACCCCATGGCAAAAAAAATAGTCGGTCTCAAAAAATAAGTGCTCAACGCAGTCGGTCTCAGACTATAAATGAATTAATGGGGTGTTTTCTGACCATCAGAATTCTGCAAAATCTCTCCCCAAAGTCCAAGGCATTTCAGAGTCCAAGTAAGCGCCCCATTGAGGTAAAGTGCCCTCAGACCCAGTCCTCAAAAATTAAAAGCTCAGTTACATATCGGCGCTCAATTCCATTATGCCATCATTGTTCAACTCCTTCTCTGTCTTATACTATCTCATCACTATCATATTCACAGTTACAGTGAATCGCCCAGTTAGTAGTACCACTAGTGGGTAAGTCGTGGTTCAAAAGACTGTAGAATTGTAAGTTCTACTCTCACAAAACAGGCGACATTGACAGATAGGCCTCAAGATTCTGTTCCATTTCTTATCCTCTCGTTAACGAGAATTTGGATCCATTTGCCATGACATTGAATAAAATTGTCAGGCCCAGTCCCAAAAATTAAAAGCTCGGTTACACATCTGAATTTTTTCGCGCCTGCGGCGCTCGATTCCATTATAACATCATTGTTCCACTCCTCTGTTGTTTTATACTGCCTCAGCACTATCATATTCACGGTTATACTGATCTGCCTAGTTATGTTAGTAGTACCACTGGCACTGGTGTGTGGGTCGTGGGGCGTCAGGCTAAACAAAAGTTCTGTCAACTCTTGCAAAACAGGCGGAATTGACAGGTGCAGATCTCGAGATTTTGTCTAATTGACTCACATTTCTGGTCCTCAATATTTCAAAATTTTCTCAGGTTACTCAGTGTTATAGGCACAATCATATATGACATAAACTTTATGTTAACTTAAATAGAACTGCTTTCCAGCGAGACAACGATCAGCAAACAACTATATAATTATACAATACCACCTATGTTCTACCGGGACGCTTAATGTTATAGCCAGTATTTTGTTGACATTCATTGTGGAGTGGAATTGTGGCTGGGGTGGCGCCCTAGATTTGGACCCCCCCCCCCCCTACCTAGATCCCCTACTGCACAGGGCCCTTACAAAACTTGCACCTGTGGTGCTCGGCTCCTGACTGCGTCACTCGTACTAGGGGTATGGGCATCAGTCGGTCGCATTTTGGCTAAACACCCCCCCCCCCCCCAAACAAAATCGTTATGTACGCCCCTGGGCTCGCAACGCATTTAACCTCTGCGCGTATACAAAGGGTATTTTGGGACCC